GGATTCACCGAGAGAGAACGAGGGAAAAGAGAGAAAGAGACAGAGAGAGAGAGAGAAAGAGACGAGAAGATTATATAATTTGGAGTACTCACCTGGGATGGTGGATGGATGCGTGGCAGCAGAGGACGGTAGTGTTAGTCGGCTCACTCGAATCGTCGAGCTCACTCGATTCACCGTCCGCCGCACCAAAACGAAACTTCAAAATTTATCACGAAAACATGATCGCGAAACTGTGATGGAACGGACGAGGAAAGAGTCCACTGTCGAAGCACCAACACTCGATGACGTCATTCCACCAGCGGCAACATGGAGCCCGAAACGCGATAGGACGCGATAGGACGAGATAGGACGCGATAGGACGCGCGCGCTCGAGAAGTTCGAGTCGGCTCGGGTCTATCGTTCGGCTCGACAGCTGTCCCCCGAACTAACCTCAAATCGGCGCACGGCGTTCGCCCGGTACTCGCACGGATCACACGACTCGCTCGAGAGGTTCGGCCACCGCTGCTGCTAGTACTGCTGCTGCTGCTGCTACTACCGCTGCTGCTGCTGCTGCTGCTGCTACTACCGCTGCTGCTGCTGCTGCTCGCACTCGCTCGTCACCGCGCGAACCCTCTCGACCACGACTGACTGACAACCAGCGACACACGCCTACCGTCCGACACCTCTTTTCCTCTTGTTTGCTTCGCCGCGGCTGCCCTGCGGGACTCGGATCCGCTCCTTTTTCCACGTGATTTCCGAAGGAACGCTAACAGAGGGCGGTCGCGCGCGCGCGCCCCGCGACTGCGATTCCTTCACTGCGGGAATCCCGATATTCGAAATCGAAGCTGCGCGTCGCGATGCCTCCTCCGCTTCGTACAGAGGACACCCGTCGAAGCCGCGACGGGACGAGTCCGGTCGGGACGAGTCGAACCGAGTCCGACCGACTTTCAGCGAGCCGGACCGAGCACGCTCGAAGCGGGACGAGCGCAGCCGAGACACGAACGTCGCTCGGATATCCTCGGTGACGCTCGTGGCCGTCACAGACTTCGAGCGGGTACAGATTGCGAGTACAATGTGTTTTTATGGCTACTGTTCTGAAATACCGACACCGTAACGGAGCTACCGATGCATTAGCGGACTCTACGCGAATCCAACGGTCGACTAATGAACTATGGAACACTGCAACGTGGAAAGTCCGTTTGCGAATTTGATGTTTACAGTGTTATCGGTTTGAAAAGTTCCGTTGTCTGGAGAGTTAGGTTTAGACGAATTCGTCGAGGTGATGGAAGCTCGTATGTTTGATAACATATTCGGTAAATACTATTCCTGTTCATTTATATTGAATTAAAATGCTTAGCGACGCGAGCAGCTGAATAATAGTATAACTTAAGGACTATGGTACCAAACTGTTAACCCCTTGCCTTATTTATTTCGCAATTAGCGATACTACTTCGTCGTTTATTATTCATTAGCAGAGGAACAAAATTTCATGCTTAATCTACGGTTTATTCTAAAGATTCACGATTGATAGTAGAAAAGTAATACTTAATTTATATTTAAAAAATGTAAATAACACTTGGGTCCTCAAATTCGAGTCTGACATTGTAGGTTAAGGGGTTAACGAAATCTAGTACCATTTGCCTTTGTTGATACCATAAATGTCACACGAAACGCTCTAAATTTTCATGGCGGTCAACTTTGTATAAACATATCAGAGACGAAACACATCCAACTCGATTCCCACTACAAACCTGAAATCTATCATCGGTAACATCGAGCGCGACACCAAAATGGTACAGGGGTGTCAAGACCCCCGAAGCTCAAACCAAAATTCCCATAAACGTCCGTGCTACTCCCAGGTCAGTATCCACTGATATCTTTCCGCGTTCAGCCGACAGTGGCGCGATCGTTGCTTCGCAACCGCAATGCCATCCTCAGCAACCCTAACCTCAACTTCCATTTTCAGTCTTCCGTCAACTCACGGCAACCGTTCCCGATATCTGAAGAAACAGGCACGGACATAAGCGCGCGCTATGCGCGAGACGCCAACTTCGTCCACGTCCAGTGACAGATGAAAGAACTTCGCGAGCGTTGACATTCAATCAAACAATGCCACCATCCGTGTACGTGTCGCGGATCAACCAGATCGACGCGACGCAGTTGGACGAGGAGATCTACAAGGTGCTGCGGAACCAGGTGAAACGAATCACGGAGCATCAACCGGTGGACGGTATCGACCGGTGGCAGCCGGAGATCGACGCGCTGCTGAAGTTCTTCGTCTGGTACTTCTCGCTGCGCCGCGGGAAGTCGACCTTCGGCCAGCAGTTGCTCAACCTGCACTACGAGAACCTGAACCGAGCGAAGTCCGTCCTCTACCTGATTCTGACCGTTGTTCCAGCGTACGCGCGAGACAGGCTCGACGACACCGGCGGCAACGGCCGGCTGCGCGGCTGCTTGGACCGCATCGCCAGCGCCGCGAAGCTGCTCGAGTTCATCAATTTGTTGGTCTTCCTGAACCGAGGAACGCAGCCGCGCGTGGTGGAGTTCCTGCTGGGCATCAGGAGTCGTTCGACGACTACCCACAAGCCCAGGAATATTGGCTACTCTTACATGACCAGAGAGCTCTTATGGCACGGACTCATGGAACTGTTCACCATCGGTTTGCCTATGATTAACTTGCACTATTGGAAACACGCGGTGAAGAGGCTGGTGTCGCGAGGCAGTCGGACCAGCGTGCTGCACTCGTCGCCGAGGATGGACGCTGCCAGCAGATGCGCTTACTGCAACGAGACACCGATCATGCCGATGCACGCCGGCTGCGAGCATCTCTTTTGTTATTACTGCCTGACGGCCCATTTCGCCGCCACCGAGCAATTCCAGTGCGTCGAGTGCGGCGCACAGCTTCGACGTCAGGACGCGAGAACTTATGAGGCGAGATCCGAGACGATCCACGCTGAATGAATATTGTATCCGGGAATCGGTTGGCTCGAGTTTTCTATTGTTTTCTATTGTTTTCTATTGTATTATACCGTATTATATTGTATCGCTGGTTACCGCGGACACGCAAACGCCAGAGATACTTGTTTTTCTGTTTTTTATTAAAAAATAGCAATACAAAATTTTCTTTATTCGCTTGGATACAACATTTCAATTTTCCTCGACGTCCCTTTCGAAACAGCCGGCAATTAATTCGGATGACCGGGATGTATAATATCCGTCGCTTATCGAAATGAATAGATCACTGTACAAAAATATCAAGCCGCGTTATCGTAAAACGATTTCCGTTCTCGTACATTGAACGCGATACGCGACGATACGCATTGCTCGTTAATTCGTTGAACCGTCCGATGGCCGGGAACGTCCCCCGATTCGACCGACTGAACGTCACCTGCCGTGAAACACTGGAAACGCGTTTCACCGTACCATGTACCACTTGGCCAAAGTATATATATATATATATATATATATGTACCTCCGAATCGGTCGGTTTTTATACTGTTCAATCGGTTCAATGCGTAACCCGTTTCAATTCCCGACGCTGGAA